GCTGTGGGAATTCCCTGCCCTCAGCACAACAGCTCCTGGGTTTGGGAACACTCAGCCTCTTTCCTACCTCAGTTTTAATGAAAAATAACAAACCCAGAGCGGAAGGGCAGCACAACCCCGACAGCTGCTGGGGCTGTGGTGCCAGGAGTGTTTCAGGGTGAGAGGAGCCAGGGGCAGCTCCGGGAGCGATCCCGGTGAGAGGAGCCAGGGGCAGCTCGGGGAGCGATCCCGGGGGAAGGGAGCCAGGGGCGGCTCCAGGAGTGATCCCGGGCAGAGGAGCCAGGGGCAGCTCCGGGAGCGATCCCGGTGAGAGGAGCCAGGGACAGCTCCGGGAGCGATCCCGGTGAGAGGAGCCAGGGGCAGCTCCGGGAGCGATCCCAGGCAGAGGAGCCAGGGGCAGCTCCGGGAGCGATCCCGGTGAGAGGAGCCAGGGACAGCTCTGGGAGTGATCCTGGGCAGAGGAGCCAGGGGCAGCTCCGGGAGCGATCCTGGGCAGAGAAGCCAGGGGCAGCTCCGGGAGCGATCCCGGGCAGAGGAGCCAGGGACAGCTCCGGGAGGGATCCCGGGCAGAGAAGCCAGGGACAGGCTCCAGGAGCGATCCCGGGGGAAGGGAGCCAGGGGCAGCTCCGGGAGCGATCCCGGGCAGAGGAGCCAGGGACAGGCTCCAGGAGCACTCCCGGCAGGAAGGGAGCCAGGAAGGGAGCCAGGGCCAGGCTCCAGGAGCTGATTCACTGTGCTGAGCAATGCCTGCCCCAGCCACTGAAGCATCACAGACATCCAGACATGGCAGACGCTTCCTCAGCCTCAGGAGAGGCTCCTCGGGAGCAGCTGAAGTTCAAAACCCTTCAAACCCCTTCAAATTGCAGATTTCAAACATGCAGACCCAGCCCAAAAAACACCCCAAATCCCACCCCCCAACACACATCCCCAGCTTGCAGCCCTAGTGAACATCACATTTACCACTTTGGCCACCTAAGAAATAACTGGAATGAGCACTTTGGAATGAGGTTTCTCTTCCAGAAAAAAAGCTATCTACATTTACAGGACAGACCAGGCTTTGGAAAGCCCCTCACCCCAGGATCCAAGGAGTTGTCACCTCCTCTGCACTGAGCATTGCCACCAGTAAGGACAGCACAGGAATACCCCTGGATCCACGGGCTTGGACAGAAGCCATCAGCTGTGGATGGTGATGGATCCTCCTGGTCCCTCTTTCCCAGCCTGGGAAAGGCTGGGAGCTCGTTGGCCGTGTCCAGGCGGGAGATGGAGCTGACAGCCAGGCAGCAGCACAGGAGGGGAAACATTCCTGTGCCCACAGCTCCACCAGGACCCCCGAGGCCCTGCCCCTCTCCGTGGCCACGCCAGACTGAGGAGTTCCCACCCAGGAATGAGCCATTTTCCAAGAGACCTGTGCTCCTTATGGAATGGAGCAGCACGGATCTGCACTGCCTGCTTGCACTGCAACTCCAGAGATCCAGAGGCTTGGGAACACCACTCAGGAAGCTCCCAGGATTGGCCACTTTGCCTTTCCCTCGCACTGAGAGGGTGCAGAAATTGGGATTTTCCCTGTCCAGCCCTAGCACTGCTCCTGCACAGCAGTTCCCAAGCTTCCTGGCAGTCAAAACAAATACATTTGGTATTTATTCTGAGTTCCAACCACTGCTTAACCCCACAGCTGGCTTTGGGCAGTATCAACTACGTTCTCAATCTTGGTTTAAAAACAAACAAGAAGTTATTGGCTGAGGTTTATACCCTGTTTTTACCTGGCTGAGGGGCTACAATTCCCACTCTAACTGTGAAGAGCTCAGTGGGGCTGGGGTTTCCTCAGCCACCACCGCGTGATCCGACTTTGATGCTGCTTCTCCTGGGTAAAAATGCAGAAAGATGGGCAAAGCCAAGGTCTTGCCACTTTCTCACAGAGAAAGCACGTGGCTGTTCCTCCCCAGTTCTAGGGCAGCAGCACTTTGGGATTCAGTTTACTACGCCCTAAAAAGGATTCCAGCATTTCCCAGTGTTCAGCCTTCCCCAAGAACAGTGCTCTGGACCTCTCCCAAAGTCCTGTCTCCAGCCCACACCTAGGTCAGTTTATCCTGATGCTTCACCTACCCCACTCTACACACCATGGAAGCAGCATAAATGGAGTTATCTCTGTCAGCAAAGGAAAATCTGCAAACACTAAATAAAGAAACCCTGAAAAATGACACAAACCAGGGCTGACCCCCCTCCTAATCCAACCACTGGAAACAAAGGCATTGTGATACGACATTCCACCTCAAAAGAAGCTCTACAGACATCTAAGTGTGCAAATGTGGGTTTAGCTTTCCTTTTCCCAAGGGATAACTGTAGCCCAGCAGGGACCAAACATTCCGTATAAATAAGGCGAGCTTTTTTTTTTTGTTGTTTTTGCATAGAAGTTACTCAGTGATAGTCCCCCCCCAGTGACCCCTCCTGTGCCCCCCTGCTTTGCCACCGAGCTGAGTCCTGCTCCTCCAGGTCCTGAGTCCAGAAGAAACCTTGGACACATCCCAAAGGCTCCCTCACCCCAAAAGGTGGGATGAAGAAAACCCAATGAATTTTGTAGAACTGCTTCACCCTGCGAGCTGTCTCCAAACCCGCTGTTATTTTTAAACGTTTGCAGTTCAATTTGGAGGCAATTCTTTTTTTTTTTTTTCTTATGCCAGACATCAGTAATTGCACCACAATTGTCTTGGTTCTGCTGCTCTTTTTGCCAATGTTGCTTTTGCCAATCAGTGCAGCAGCTCAATAAAACCAGCAGCTTATTAAAGTACCCAGAGCCTCTGCAGCACCATCCTCTGCTGCCACCAGCTTTGGTTGCTTTTTGGTTTTTTTTTTAAATAATATATTTTATAAAAACACCTGCTATTAATGTTCCACTGGAGCTCAAAGTGGCTCAGCTTGGGGCAAAGGCACAATTGAAACACCGTGTTTCCTACAGGACTCTGCATTCATGGTTTGTAGAACAATAGAAATGTACAGCACCAATCCGTGGCTGGGAGGGGATGTGTGTAGGAATGAGTCCTCAGAGTCCCTCTGAGGGGGCTCTCGAGTCTTCCACCTTTCCCCCAGCAATTGGTTTGGAATCTTCTCTCTCCATCTTGCCCTTGACTGGAATGCTCCCACTTGCTATCAGCTGACCATGGGCTCCACGTCCGTCTCTCTGTCCAAGTCATCCTGAATTTCGTCTGTGTTTCCTGAGTCACTGCTGGCTACCGAGCTGGGGGATGGAGAATTCCTGCAGGGAAAGGTGCAGCCCAAAAGTTACATATCCATGACAGAAGGAAGAAAAAAAGTCTTACAAGAAAAGAGTCACTTTCCCTTCCCAGTACTATTTAAAAACCCCTTTATTAACATTTAACACTGGCATTCCCTCAGGCTATTAAAAAAAAAAAAAAACTTTAATAAAATTAAACTTTTGGGTTTACAGTAAATATCAGCCCACCCCCCCAATCCCCTACACAACTACAGAGGCTGGCCCAGGTTTACTTATGGGGATGGCCCAGGTTTACTCTCAGCATCCCTAATACCCAGAGCCCTGAAAATTGAAAGTTTATCATCTTGTTCTACCAGGGTTGAGCAAGAGATAAGAGAAATCCCTCACAGTGTAAGGTTCTTAACACATGAGAAGATTAAAAAACCAAGTTCTTCATGTAAGTCCAGAGTCGAGATTTAATTTGGGGTTTTAAGAGTTCTAAATCTGAGATGTTAAAGACTGCAAGTCCAGCTGAGCTGGAGCTCCCTGTGTTTAGGAGCAGGTGCTGAACCCTTGGGGCTTTCCAGGGAACAGGACCCCACACTCTGCTGCAGGCCCCCTTTCAGGCTGATCTGGGACACGAGATTCTCCAAAGGACAAGGCCACCAAGTGACAGTGCTGCCTTTAGCCCAGGCTGGCAGGAACTGATGCCTTAAGTTTTAGCTTTCGTATTTCTCAGATTCTGTGCTGCATTAGTGTGTAACTCTGAACTTCACAGAGTGTTAGCAAGTTCTCTTCACAGTTTAGTCAGAAAAAACAATCTTTTCCAGCCCCAGAACCAAGGGGAACTATTGCAGCTTCAGGCCCCAAAAAGTGTGAACAAAAGCAAACTGGGAGGATGTGACTTCATTACCTGAAGCTGTAATAGGACAATTAACCCACAATGTGCAGATGGACTAAACTTATAAAACTGTGAAAACTCATGACCCATGGTCCATCTTGGGTGTAGTCACAGCCAGGCTCTTGCACTGCCCAAGGTGTATCTTCGAAGGCCTTTCAATAAATCCCTACTTTATTCCTTTACCTCTGCCTAGCCTCTGTCCTAGGTGCCCTCTCCAGCACCAGACCCAGGAGGGGATGTGCTGGTTTCCAGCTTCTTTTTCTACCTCTGTCAGGGTCAGGATTGAAGGCACTCGAGATGTGGTTCATGCTCAGACTCAGGTGTTTGTTATTTCTTGTCCATGTTACAGCCCACAGTAGTGAGTTCTGCAGTCCTTTACCAACAAGGCACAAAATGGCCAACCATCTTTCTCTACAATGCCTTTTAAGGCTAAACTATCCAACTGTGAAATGACACCTAAATTATTTTCACTTTTAACCCAATAACTAATCCCTCCAAGTCCGCAATGAAGGCTTTTCTGTCCAGTTACAAAATACCACCCAAACCCATGAAGATGAAGGTGAAGAAGGTGAAGAAGGTGAAGAAGGTGAAGAACGTGAAGAACGTGAAGATGAAGGTGAAGATGAAGGTGAAGAAGGTGAAGAAGGTGAAGAAGAAGGTGAAGAAGAAGGTGAAGAACGTGAAGATGAAGGTGAAGAAGAAGGTGAAGAAGAAGGTGAAGAAGAAGGTGAAGAACGTGAAGATGAAGGTGAAGAAGAAGGTGAAGAAGAAGGTAAAGAAGAAGGACCAACCTCCACCCTAAAACCTCCATCTTGCTCCATATATATTACTATATTCTAAAACCCCAAACTCTAAGATTTCCACCCTGTGATACTACACACTTCTAACCAACCACACACCTATAATCCCAATTATTTTGGAAGCCTTCTCCAGGGCTCCAGGTCAATGCAGTGCTTTCCTGGGGGTCAGAGCCTGTCAGCACAGAAAGGCTGAAATTCCCAGCAGCCAGAACTCCAGCAGGAAGGAGCTGCTGGGGCAGCAGAGGAGTCCCTACCTGTCAGCTGAGCCCTTGATGAGCCTCCTGCAGGTCTCCATCTGCACGTCCAGGCCCCGTTTCATGCTGCACATCTCCATGTACTCGTGCAGGTGCCGGTTCATGTCGCTCTTGGCTGTGGCCAGCTCCAGCTGGGGCAAAGAAGAGCAAGGAATCAGCTTCAGGGGAGGAGCAATCGGGGTTTCCCTGCACTTCTCACCCTGCCTCAGCTGCCCAGAGCCCACCCAGACAGCCCACAGTGTTTCACCTCACTGCTCCTAGCTGCCAAAGCAGTCCCGAGCCCAGCAAGGGCAATCAGCCCCTGATGGTTCTGAACAGCCCTGCAGGGCTTTTCCTGCTCTTGGCACCTTGTTTGTCAACAGGCAGTAATTAATGAAAGCAGTTCCAGGCAGGACAGAGATTTTGAGAAGCTCCAGCTGCTGTTTCTGGCAACCTGTGAGGCCAAGTCCTGGGAAGCACTTCCCAGGGTGAGGGTGGACACGCAGAACAAAGTGGGGAAAAAAGAATAATAGTGTGTTTTATTCCCTTTGTTCTGCAGGTTCTCTCTCCACCAGCCTCAGATTTATGCTCAGTGCTGAAGTATGGAGCAATAATAGCCCAGAGAATGGCATTTAGGAAAATCCCCAGGGCACGCCAGAGGGAAATGCCTTTGCATTCTTGGATGTATGGACATTCCTGCTTCCCTCAGGGACACCCCAGAGCACAGCGCTGTGCTGTGTCCATCCATCAGGAACAACTCCCCTTCCTCACCTCTATCTGCCCTATTGTCTCCTGGTATTCCTTGTCTCTCGTTTTGAAGAACGACTCTGTCTCGTGGATCAAGTTTCCCAGGTTTTCTTCCTGCAGGGGAAAGGACACAAACAATTAGCAAGGAAATAAAGGACTTCAGGGGTGAACTGAAGATTTTACTTAACCTCCCCTGGAAATGCAGGTTGTTGTGTTCCTTTATGCACTGAATTTTTAAAGACACTTTTTCATAGGCCAGGAATACTCTTCTACAATCCCAGGAAAAAACCAGGAAAACATTTCTGTGCCTTGCCCACAGCTCTGGACACAAAAGGCAAGGTCTGACCAAGGCTCCAGCAATTAAACCCATGCACCTGCTGCATTCCACAGCACCAACCCCCTGGATTTTCCTGAGCCTTTCACAGCCTGATCACACTTGGACAGACTGGAATTGCTCTCCAGCCATGAAACTTCTAATTTTCCCTACACTGACCACACTGCTACTCACAGCTTTGCACTGGAATTCTCATTTTCCAGTTACAGATCATCACTCTCCAGTGCACACACGGATTCCCACTGGAATTCCTGCACTGCTGGATAAAGCAGGAACAAATGCTGTCCCACAGGAAAGCTCCTCCTTTGGACTGACAGCACAGTCTGGACTCCCAAACACACAGAGCTGTTTGGTGCTGCCCAAAAAGGCACCACAATGTCACTGTTCCCTCTTTCAAGTCTTCAGCCACCTCCGTTTTCCATTAAAAACTATCCTCAAATTAACACAACTGCACCAATGAGTGTTAATGGGGTTTCCATGCTCTGGCCACATCTGTGGCAGATTTCCAGGGCTCGTTCCTGGTACCCACACCACGCTATCCAGCCTGGAGTTACAAGAATCATCCCGCTGATCCTTTTATATGCAGAAGAGCTTTAAGGAGGAAGGTCATAAAAGAAGGTGGCGAGGGCAGCGTGTAAGAACTTGAAAGGAATAAAACCCACGGAAGGAAGATTCAGGCATGTAAAGCACATGTTAAAGAGCAGGCACAGCCGGAGCAGTCTTTATTCTGAACCTCCATCTACAAGCCAAATCTACCCTTTCCTTGTGTAATTTTCATTTAGAAGGATTTAAGCTTCTTAAAATCTTTAGCGTTTCCCCGCGCGGGGCCTGGGCTCGGCGCTATTGCTGCGCTCAGCCAGGCACGCCCGGAGTATGCAAATCAAATCAGCTGTCATTAATTCCTGCACGAGCCTCCTCGTTATCACCCTGCCGCTCTCCGCTCCAGCTCTCCGCGCTTTCTGCAGCCCCAGCAGCTCCCAGTAATCCCCAGAGGCTCCTGCAGCTCCGGATGGATGATCCAGGCCCGGGGAGGCGCAACACGAACGGCACCGGCTCCGGCCCAGGCTGCTGCCTCAGCATCTTCCCGGCCGGAGGCGGTGGGATCACCTCCCACCTCCCTCCTCCCTCCTCCCGGCCTGTGCTGTGCAGCGAGGCACTGACACGGCCATTCCCAGCCACTCCATCATCCCCAGGCTGTTCCCAGCCATTCCCAGCCACTCCATCATCCCCAGGCTGTTCCCAGCCATTCCCAGCCACTCCATCATCCCCAGGCTGTTCCCTGCCACTCCATCATCCCCAGGCTATTCCCAGCCATTCCCAGCCACTCCATCATCCCCAGGCTATTCCCAGCCATTCCCAGCCACTCCATCATTCCCAGGCTGTTCCCAGCCATTCCCAGCCATTCCCAGTCACTCCATCATCCCCAGGCTATTCCCAGCCATTCCCAGCCATTCCCAGCCACTCCATCATCCACAGGCTGTTCCCAGCCGTTCCCAGCCACTCCATCACCCCAGGCTATTCCCAGCCATTCCCAGCCATTCCCAGCCACTCCATCATCCACAGGCTGTTCCTGACCATTCCCAGCCATTCCCAGCCACTCCATCATCCCCAGGCTGTTCCCAGCCATTCCCAGCCACTCCATCACCCCAGGCTGTTCCCTGCCATTCCCAGCCATTCCCAGTCACTGCATCATTTCCAGGCTGTTCCCTGCCATTCCCAGTCACTCCATCATCCCCAGGCTGTTCCCAGCCATTCCATCATTCCCAGGCTGTTCCCTGCCATTCCCAGCCACTCCATCATCCCCAGGCTATTCCCAGCCATTCCCAGCCATTCCCAGTCACTCCATCATTCCCAGGCTGTTCCCAACCATTCCCAGCCATTCCATAATTCCCAGCTGTTCCCAACCATTCCCAGCCATTTCCACTCCCAGGCTGTTCCCTGCCATTCCCAGCCATTCCCAACCATTCCCAGCCATTCCATCATTCCCAGGCTGTTCCCAGCCATTCCCACTCATTCCCAGACACTCCATCATTCCCAGGCTGTTCCCAACCATTCCCAGCCATTCCCAGTCATTCCCAGTCACTCCATCATTCCCAGGCCATTCCCAACCATTCCCAGCCATTCCATAATTCCCAGCTGTTCCCAGCCATTCCATTCCCAGGCTGTTCCCTGCCATTCCCAGCCATTCCCAACCATTCCCAGTCAATCAATAATTCCCAGGCTATTCCCTGCCATTCCCAGCCATTCCCATTCCCAGGCTGTTCCCTGCCATTCCCAACCATTCCCAGTCAATCAATCATTCCCAGGCTATTCCCTGCCATTCCCAGCCATTCCCATTCCCAGGCTGTTCCCTGCCATTCCCAGCCATTCCCAACCATTCCCAGTCACTCCATCATTCCCAGGCTGTTCCCTGCCATTCCCAACCATTCCCTGCCATTCCATCATTCCCAGGCTGTTCCCTGCCATTCCCAACCATTCCCAGCCATTCCATCTTGCCCTGCCAGTCCCAGCAACTCCCAGTCCCTTCCCAGACTTTTCCATGCAATTCCCAGCCCCATTCCCTGCCAGTCCATCCACAGCCACTCCCAGCCCGTTCCCAGCCATTCCCAGACTGTTCCTAGCCCATTCCCAGCCCATTCCCAGCCATTCTCAGATTGTTCCCAGCCATTCCCAGACTGTTCCTAGCCCATTCCCAGACTGCTCCTAGCCCATTCCCAGTCATTCCTAGCCCATTCCCAGCCCTCTCCAGGCTGGTTTAAGAAGGCTCTGCAGTGGCTGGATTAGCTGCCTTTCCCCGGGATTTTAGGATTAAAAGGAAGCTGTTCATTATCCACCACTGCCAGCAGATCCCCACTGACTGGGCAGAGGGAAGCACAAGATTCTTGGGATGGGATTGACACCCTTCAACACCTCCCAGCCCACACCGAGGCTGCTCAGCTCCCCGCAGGAACAACTGTCCACATATTATCATCATTAAAGTGTGAATGAGGATTCACAGAGAAGGTGAGGCGCTGTGGAAGATCACAGAATCCCAGACCGGCTTGGGCTGGAAGGAGCTCGAAGTTCACCATGGGCAGGGACACCTTCCACTGTCCCAGGCTGCTCCCAGCCCATCCAGCCTGGCCTTGGGCACTGCCAGGGATGGAGCAGCCACAGCTTCCCTGGGCACCCCCACCCTCACAGGGAAGGATTTCTTTCTTAATATCAAATCTAAACCTCCTTCCTGTCAACCCAGAGCTTTAGAGAAAGCTCGAAAGGGTGACAGATTCCCTGATGCTCCTGGAATGGACACCTTGGATCCTTCACCTCTCACTCAGTATTTTAAATTATCAGTCTGAAGGAGCCAAGGAAGTAAAGTTTGGCCAATAAAGTGATTGCACAGACTGCAAATCACCCAGAGAGGGGAAGCACTAAGAGGATTTTAAAATCAAAGTCAGTTTGTGTGGCAAACCAGATCACCAGTCAAACACCCACAGGCTCAAATGGCTGTAAAGGAGTAGCTGAGGGAGAGTTTCTGCAGAGAAGAGTTGGAGAAAATAACGGGAATGAACTCACCTCTCCTTGGAGGTCAATGGAGGGGTTGCAGTTGGTGAAGTCTTCCCACAGCAGCAGCGTTTCCTCGTTCTCCTCCCACGTTAAACTGTCACAGTCGTCATCGAAATCAAAGGTTTCCCGGCTGAGAGAACAAACAGGCATTAACCAAAGCACTCCAGCCCCGCTCCCGCAGTCCTTTAATTAATTGTCTAGAAAAATGGGCTGTGAGAGCTGAATGGGGGGACAATGCAGCGGCTGGAAACCCTCACGGCTTTTACAAACAGCCTGTGCCACTGCCCAGGCCCCTCTCTCCTGGGCTCTCTGCCACCCCAGGGCAGAATAAAAGATCCTTGTTGGAGCTGCTGCTGCGAGCACAAGGCCTGGCTCTGCCCTCCAGATGGAGCTGCACAGGAGCTTCCCCTGTTTGCAAAACCACAGGAATGCTTGGAGCTGTTCTTTCCTCCCAAGGAAAGGAGCCCAGACACAGCCCCGGGGACGCCACAAGGCTCGGAAGCCGCGAGGATTTCACGGGGGGTTCGGCCAAGGGCTCCCTGCAGCCCTTGGAACACAGCGG